CAATAATATAATGGCAAACCTCATCTAAAAACGAGAGGAGTACAAGTGTACATCTACCCCATTCCATTTCATCTTCCGAGCGAGCCACAGATTCGGCCGGCGCAGGCACCGCGAAAAATGGCGGCAGCCATGTTCTCCCCAACTGCCACTTCCAGTTCCGCCGCGAAGCCGCCGCCATCCACCACCTCCTCCGTCAAACCCCACCAGAGCACCAACATTCCGAGACGACACATGCTGAAATTAGGGCTGGGCATCGCGCCTCTGCTCACCGGCATTCCTCCTCCGCCGCCCGCGAAAGCCAAGGAAGTAGAAGTCGGATCTTTCCTCCCGCCTTCGCTCACCGACCCTTCTTTTGTCCTCTACAGAGCTAAACCGGCCGACACTCCCGCTCTTCGTGCCGGTACTATTTCAACCTTCTCTTTACCCGTTTATTACAGAGAAATTATTGTAATTCGTAGCTTGAATACATGTAGCTTAAGATTGATCTTCCTGCAGTATAAGTGTTCCTCCTAATCACCTCTTGTAAACCAAAGATTCGAGATAACTTTAATTTTTGTTTAGAGAACAAAGATGGCAAATAACTCTAATCTTTGTTGGGAGTCCGAGAGGGTGATAATGTTGTGTAACAGCATTATGTGGAACGGTATAGGATCGAACGTGAAGAAACTTGATAGTAGGCTAAACAAATCGAGTGATCAATTTCAGATCGAGCTTATTTCGAGGTATACCAAAGTACTTCAATTGGATATGATGTTAGTATTTAGAACGCGTATGGAAGTTCTGTTGTATCAAACATAACCTGGGACTTCACATATATAGAGCACAAAATGATGAGATGCGTCTGTTGACGAAACAACACAACTTTACGCTGAACATTCAAATGTTTGGCTAGAAATTCAAATGTATGCAACGTTTTAGATAAACATTACATTTCAATGGTTTTCTGCACGAATCATCGCGTCTTATCGTGAAAGATTCAAGTGTATTGGTTCTTTTAGTAAGGAATGTTGGAGATAAACATTAGATATGAATGTGCATAACTTTGAACTATGTTTACAAAAATTCAAAGGATTTTCATAAAGCATTTATGTTTAAAATAAATTTTTTCCAAGCTAACCTGTAAGCTCAACCCCAGCCAGGGGTTGCCGCCCCTTGGACTCCGCTACGGAATTTGTAATATCGTCGAACGAGCATGCAGTCTGCACCACCCAACTCGTTAAAAATCCTAATTAAAATTCTTGTCTGGTCTAAGTAAATCTAATTACACAAAATAGTCGATGATACAAAAATTACCAACATAAGCATGTGATTCTTACGATCCATCTGGTTCGATGGAGATGGGAGAAAATGGTAGGGAAAGATGAGAGGAAGGGAAAAGGGATGGAGAGAATAATTATGTGTTTGGTTTAAAAGAGTAATTATGTGTTTGGAATAAAAATGTTTCTCACCCGTCACTCAATCCATCACCCGACATATTCATATTTTAAAAAATTATGATAAAAAATAATATCTTTGTTGGATACATAAGTTTGTTCCTGTTTCCAATATTCCATTTTATAAAAGCCTAGTTTGTAACTTATTGTTTCTTTGCAAGATTTTATTCTCAACATCATTAATATCTTATTTTTTAAAGATATTTTCTGTGTTATACGCTTCATAACTTTGGCGTTTCATGGGATTAATAATTAAAAAACTATTAGTTATATCACTCATTTTCACTCGCTTCACATGTGGGTGATGGATGGATCGGATGATGGATGATGCATGTAACGATGATGGATGAATCAGGTGATGAATATGGAGCCGATGGATGGATGAGGGTGATGTTCCACCCGACCAAACCTCAGCTCGTTTTCAACCCTAATCCTAGTTTGGTGGGGATTGAAGCTATATAAGGCTGAGGTGGACCTTAGTAATAGTGTGTGAACCAAACGAGGAGTGTGAACCAAACAAACCCTTAATAATAGTGTGTGATTTTGAGTTGTTTTCTACATACTCTTTCATTTCCCTTTGTTTTCTCCTTGTTCTTTTATTAGCTGTTTTTTAAGCATGTTTTTATGTTATTTTGAATGGAAAATATTTTAGAAACAGCTCTTCTACCTTTATAGCCGAGGGAAGGTCTGCATACATCTACCCTCCAAAACCCTACTAGTCGGTCGTTTGGATCGTTGTGGTTGAATACTTATAGTTTGATTCATGGGTCTAAGGGGCTGATGAAGCTCCAAATTTTAGTTGATTTCAGGAAATGTGCAGCCATACAGGTTTATACTCCCCTCTACATGGAAGCAGACTCGAGTGGCAAACATACTGTCTGGGAACTATTGCCAGCCCAAGTGCGCCGAGCCGTGGATCGAGGTGAGATTCGAGAACGAGAAGCAGGGGAAGGTACAGGTGGTGGCGTCGCCTTTGGTGCGCCTTACCAACAAACCCAATGCCACAATTGAGGACATTGGGACCCCAGAAAAGGTCATTGCGTCCCTCGGCCCTTTTGTCACCGGTAACACATTTGACCCTGATGAACTGGTCCGGGCTTCTGTTGAAATGCGTGGGGGTCTAACGGTATGATGCCAGTATGCCACTTCTAGTCATTCTTAATCACATAGTTTTTTTGTCAAACCAGGCAATGTAAAATGGGACGGAGGGAGTATTTGGCTGCTAAGATGAACATACTTTCATGAACCTGTTGTTGTTGTGGTGTTCCGTTTTGCAGTATTACAGATATGTTCTTGAGACTCCGTACGCGCTGACCGGGTCCCACAACCTTGCGAAAGCCACGGCAAAGGGAGACACGGTTGTCCTCTTTGTGGCTAGCGCCAGTGAGAAACAGTGGCAATCTTCACAGAAAACTCTAGAAGCCATTGTCGATTCCTTTGAGCTGTAATTCTTTTTTCCTTGAGTGGAAAGGAGCTTGGTACTTGTTTAATCCCATTTGGACTTTGTACTGTAGTTTTTACTAAATTTAGCTCTATCATTATATGCTTTTCAAGTAACTATGTGATATACTCCGGTAATAGATGTATCTATTGATGGTTCGGTTTCTGATTTTATATATGGAGTATTGATTGCACCAATATCACCTGTAGTTTTGTAAATATGCACTATTACTTCCTATGGTTTCAAAACTTTATGTTATTGTCTCCTATAATTCTGATATTCCTACGCCAATGCCCTTCTAGACTAAAATACCCTTCAAATATTAGATGAATATCTCCGTTGCCTTTTATGGTTTTGAAAATGGTTATAGTTTTGGAAATGGTTTTGGTAAGAGCCTTTTACTTCGTATACTTTCGGAGGCTTTTCGGTTTGACTTTGATGTTGTATGGCGGTTGATGTTTGGGTCATGTTTGTTGACGTGCCTTTGGAATTATGGAATCTTGTTGCTTTTGAGTACTTGGGGTTTAGGGTGGAAATCCCCTTGTGAACTGACCAAGCAACTGTTAATAAGGAGACGGCGAGTTTCTGTAGAATGTTGATTCAAGTCGACATGTCCAAAGAATGGCCAAAATCTTCCGAGGTTTGTCTTCCTGATGGGGATGACTATACCCAAAATGTTGGGTACGAAAGCCTTCCAAACTTTTGCTACCACGGTAAAAAGTTTGGACGCAACCAATTGAATTGTAGGGTTCTCTGTGCCCTATGCCTCAGAAAATCTGGTAATTTTGTGTCCAAATCTGCTTGATAGAATGTTGGGAAAGCCAAACTGGCCGAGGAAATACATTAACAACACAAGACAGGCCAAAACAGATGGGGTTTGGAAGGCGCCTGCTGGAAAGGAGCCCATCAAACCGTTTTGGGCTGTGTTCAAACCTAGGCTTAAAGATGCTATATTCTTGGCTATAGTTGGAAAACTCATTGACCAAGGATAACCGTTGGTATTCTTGTTCTTCTAGTTGTGTTTGTTCTTTATGGTTTCTTGTTGTTAGGCATGAATTCCCTTTGATTTGATAAGGGTATACCGTGACTCGTTAGTTAATAATTTACATTTTATCCTGGAAAACAGAAACCATCGCTCCTCTATTTTTCTTTAATGTTTTTTCTTTTTTCTTCTCTTTTTTTATAAATGTTTTTTTTTATATTTTTTCAAAAACTATTTCTATTCTCTGTAATGTTTTAATAATTAAGATCTGTTGGGTTTGAAATGAAAATCAATTAAATAAAAAGAACTATCATACAAGTCATTTGTCTCAAATTAAATATTTTCATTTTGTCCAAAGAGGTCCTTATTATTTATTTTCACGATACAAAAATCAATGACACATTTTTTATGCTGAAGCTCATTTCACATTTTCTAGTTTCTTTTTTTTCTCTTCTTGATTTTTTTAAAAAATTATGTATATAACATTTCTTTTATTTTAATCAAAATATAAAGAAAAAAAGAAGAGAAAAGGAAATGAAGAAAAAGAAAAGTATATGAAAAAAATATTTTTATAAAAAAGGAAAAATTAAGTTATCAGGTAAGTTATTGTACATCGGTCCAAAAAATGTTATTAAAAAACAAAACCTTACTTGGTATTCTTTTAGTCCAAATAGATTCAAAAAAATGAGAACTTTTTTTTAGTTTGAGACAATGAAGTATATTTTAAAATTTTTATTTAAACATCAAACAATTTTTATTTTTAATTTTTTTTTAAAAAATTTTTTTTGAAAAACAACTTTTCATTAAATCAAACACAAACATTTTTCTTCTCTTTATAAAACAAAGAAAAGAAAAAAGTAATATAATATAGAAAAAAGAGAGGGTGTGTCCATTTCCAAAACCATAAGGACAACAAGGCTATTCATTTCCGGAGTAATACTTAAAAGGTATTTTAGTCTCAAAGGTGATTGACATAAGAATATTAGAACCACGGGAAGCAACAACGTAAGTTTTAAAACCATAAGCCATGGGGATAACGGTGCATAGTTGACACACCACAAGAGTTATTGGTGCAATAAACTCATACGGAGTATTCAGCAACAAGAACAATGACACAGCCAACATAACTCAAAAACATAAACAATAAACAATTTTCTATACGAAGTGATATATAGGTACCAGTCCAATAAATATGCAGTTGCATATTCACATGAGAAAACAAAGACAAACATATAACTTGAACACATTCTGATTTTTTTCCTAGCTTCTTCCAGGTATAGTTTAACTTATAGTCATATAAGGTGCAAGAAGTGTCCTAGTGGCGGACAGATACCTTGAGTGGGAGAAGGCAGGAATAAGTGACATACTTGACGCTGTCTATCAATACAACAACAAAAATACGCGATAGGGTCTTTGTACCCATCATGCTTTCGCCACCATCAGTGGCGGCGGCGTCTCTTGGATCAACAAGCACTGAAACAACCAGTGGAGGAGCCAGTGTCCCCCTGTTAGGACCTGTGTTTTCTTTATGTCCATTTCTTCGGGCGTTTTCTTCAGATGTGTTTTGAGAAGGCGAAGAAGAAATCGGAATGGGACTACGAAGGATCCTTCTGTTTTGCTGCCTGGTATAGGGGCTTGTGGCGTTCTGAGATGATGGTTCAATAGATACATTCCTTGAGGAGGAAAAGGTTGCTGGAACTATGGCTGATGATACCTCAAACTGAAATACTTCTGTGCACATCCCCGAGCTTAACAATGGCCCTTCACATGAATGATGAAAACCAAAGTCAGACATTCACAAGGCCATAACAACATAGGAAACCATTGGTGCATGTTGAGTGTTTTGGAGGGGAAAGGGTAGTTGTTTTCTAAAAAATCTCATTTTTAAGGAATGAGTTTAAAATGTCAAATGTCTTTCAAATAAGTTTGTCGATCCCTCATTCCAACAATTCTCATACCCTACCTCTAGGATATTTTAAACCATTCATCATGATTTCTTAAGGTAATGTTTGAAAACTAGACTTCATTTGAAATCTTAGATTTCCATTCTAATACTTCAAATCCCATAATTTCAAATTCCAAGTGTTGTTTGAAAAATCATAAAATTTCAATTCTAGAACTTGAATTTTGAAGTCGGCAAAGACGGTGAGGGAAGCGAGTTGATATGTATGGAATTGTTGCATAATGGGAGATCTCTCTCATTGCAAGTTATAAATTAAAAAAAATTGGGCTTGAATTTGTAAATGACATGGGAGAGGTGTGGATTTACGATTGAGCTTTGTAATAAATTAGAGGAATTTGGTCCAAATCCAAATTTTTAAGTTTTCAAACCAGTAATTTGGATCAAATCCAGATTTGAAATCCAAATTCAAGTTCCCAAACGCACCATAAGTGAATTTGGAAAATGAACAGAATCTAGACAAACGAAAACGAAAAGCAAAAGCAACTAAATCCAAAAAGAGGGGGATGACGAGGACATTAAAATTATCATACTCCGTAGTTAATAACTTGGAACTTTTGCTTTGAAAAATTGATTATCATATGACATTTAATTGGTCTTTTCTGCGTTTGTAGTAACATTCTAATTATCAAGTTATAGACTACAGCTCTAGCCAAAACCTTCCCCTAAAAACCCTCCAACCCAAATTGAGTAAGGGTACCTAAAGCATTCCGCACCAGTTTGCATGACAAAGAAAACATCCTTCAAGATGTTTCAAATTTTATTTACTGCAATGGTAGTTTCGTACTGAACCAGATCAAGTCAGCCCACACATCAAAATGACCTTGCACCTATACATAACTGCCTACTAACTCCCAACCATGTATTGACGTGAGGCATATAATTTAGTGTCAATTAATTATCTAAAGTTCGTAATCCTATAGATTTGTGCAAAATAATAATAATTTGGTAACGAAGTTTATGCCCGGTGCCCTTGTCATCTAAACCTGCTTACGAAAAATGAATGCAAGCCTTGTTTGGTAGTAATTATCAGGTTATTCTGCAAAATGATCAGAATAAGTAGCCTTTGACTTACATATGTGGCTCTAAATAAAGTTCAATCATTTCATCCAAATAACCCTGATTAGACGGGTCTTTAATCTTATGTTGTTTTACAATATTGATACTTTAAAATCAACATGCGCGTAATGGAGCATGACCCAATTAACTACATGAAATTAAAAAAGACGTTTTACAATGGGTATTAGTTACTTACTAGAAAGCCCTTCATGGAACCATTGTTGAAGCTGACCATCTGCGGATGTTGACCTCTTAAAATTGTCCCTATCAACATAACCATGAACCAAGGCCTTCTGACCTTCAGCTGGACCTTGATACATGTGAGAGTTCCTCATGGAAGGGGGAAAATCGCTAGGAATTGCCAGACCAGTCTCTTGAATTCTTTCCATCTCACCACTTCCATTAGCGGTCATAGCTTTTTCACTTGCCAGAATGGAATGTATGATCAAGTTACCATCAATTTTCACCAGTTTATCATTCCTCGGAACATACAGAGAGGCTGTAAGGGGCTCACTACCATTTTGTGAATAAACAGTCTTAGTAAGGTCAACATTTGGCTCATCTCCATTATGATCTGTTTCACCGCAATGAAAGCCATCACTAAAATGCTTTCCATTACCAAAACCTACACAGTTACCAGTTCCATTTGCAGCTAACACCCTTCCGCGGTGGTTATCATAGAGTCCGTTTTTTACATAATTTCCACCCAAAACTGCCTCTTTCATCCCTCCGTACCTTACATTTATCATGGGAACCAATCCACCAAACATAAGTATAAAGAAAAACAAGCCAAGAAAACTGACACTTGCAGCCGTCTTAATCTTTCTCTCTTTCTTCTTAGTTGAAGAAACTGATTGCTGAGGCTTCAACCTTGGGATTGGAACTAATGGCACGTTGGACCCCTGTGGCTTTACAAAGTAAGGTGGGGTGCATGGCATCCATGGATACATAACCGGGGCATACACTCCGGGAGGTGGAGGTGGATTCGCGGGACTCATGCCAACGCCACCCCCACCGATCTGCTGCCTCAAACAGGCATTTTCAGCCATTACATATGATATTTTAGCAGTCAACTCATTAATAGTTGAATGCATTGTCCGTACTTTACCCTCTAACTCCTCGACATAGTTTTTCTTCCTTTGCCTCGAAAGCTGAGCACTCTCCCTATTCCTAATTAATCTAGCTCTCTTCTTCTCTTCCTCCTCACTAATAAAACTAGTGGTGTTAGTATTATTAGTCTCAGTGTGACTAATGTCAATAGGTTTTCTACATTTGCTCTTTCTGTTCGTTACATTATCAGATTCTCCTTGGTTTTTCCTCTTCAAAGCAGAGGTAGAATTATTATGAATGCTGTTCATTTCATCTGATTTGAAATTGTGAACAACCTCATAAATTTTAAGTGAATTGTCTTCGGAGCCTAGGGAGGAATTCAAAGATTGATTCAAGCATTCGGATGAAGATTTCGGAGCTGAAGATACATTGGAGCTGCAATTACCTGAACCCTGAGAATCTGGAGAATGGCAACTGAGAACCCTAGGACCAATATACCCTTGGTTTCCATTAGCTGACCCCTGAGAGTCCTTATTGGAACAATTTGAATCCGGCGAAGACACATTCTTATCGCCAGAAAGATCGCCGAAAATCTGGTGCGATCCGGATGAATCCCAAATCAGAACCCTAGAATCGCACGGGCACATTCCCGGGGGTGAAGAATTCAGAAACACGGCATCTCCATCAATCTGATCCCCCGAAAATTGACACGATTCAGAAGAAGAGTTCCTCAGATCCCCGATCGGATCAGGACCGATCCCAGGTTGCAAGTGGCAAGCAGCGTCAACGTGATGCACCAATGCCGGATCACACCGGTCGACGGGGCCGAGTAGGAAATTGGGGTCGAGGAAGCTATCGACGTCGGAGGGGAGATTGAGATCGTCGAACGAGAAGTCGAAGTCGAGATCATCCATCAAGATTTCGTCGCATTCGGAGAAATAAAGGGGATCCATGGGCGGAAACGGGAGGGGGTCACCCAAGTCATCGGCCATGGAGGCAGTGTCGGTGAGAGCGGCGTTTGCCGGCGGCACCAGTGGATCAGCCACCACAGCGTTTGCCATGCTTGAAAGGTTTACGGCAACGGCAGTGGATCGAATGGTGCGCGCTATCGAGATGGCGAGGCTTTGAATGGGAGAGGTAAATGCTCAGGGTTAATTAGTTGGACCCGATTAATAATTGTTACCTATTCTCACTAGTTAATGCTTCTTTTATGTGTCAGAAGCAATTTGGACATAAACTTTATAAATTTACCATTTATGTATGTAAATTTTTATTTTTAAATTATTTAAAATTATTTTATTTACTTGGAAAAATACACAAATAATAAGTTTGTGTAATTTATGTCCAAGTTGTGTGTGACTCTAACATTACTTTTCTTTTATATCCCTTTATCCCAAAATAGGCGTTATTGTCACTATTTCGTTTCTCAATAATTTTTATTTATTTATTAATTTTCATTGAACATTTGATATAAATGAAAGATTTTTGTTACCTCTTGTTTTAAATTTTTAATATACTTTTACTATGTAATTTATACTTTTTATTTATATACTAATTTATAATTAAAATAATTTTAAAAAATAAAAAAAATTTACACACTCATTAGAATGTACGTACGTAGTATTCATTATGGAACGGAGGGAGTACTGTTTATCATACTAGACTTATATTTAGTTTATTAAAATTTAAAAAATAGAAAGAAAAACTAAACTGTATAATATTAGTTATGCTCATTAGTTAATAAATATTAATTACGAAGTACTTGATTTTTAAAGATTACAATAAATTTTTAAGTGTACATAATTCTTATTTATTTATTGATAAAAAATAAATAATACTCCCTTCGTCCTTGAGTATTCATCCACTTTTGACTTTTTCAATCAAAATTAATAAGTTTTGACCTCAAATAATTAAATAAAAATGATATTTGATATTGATATAAAAATAGTTTTATTAGATTAATTATATCAAATATTTTTAAAATATTATTTTATCTAATTAATATGCAATACACATTTTACTTAACTATAGGTCAAATGTTTAAAATAGTTAACCAAAAAAAGTCAAAATTAGACAAATACGGAGAGACCGAAGTAGTACTTTTTTTGAACTCTTTTGAAAGTATATAGAATAAGAAGGCTTTAGAGGATTTGTATAAAAAATAAAAGAAAATATTTGAGATTAAATCTCAATTGGGGGCATGGATCCTTTCTCTTTCCTCCCTGTCTCAACACTACATTCTGCCACATAACTTACCTCCACCAATAATCCTACCATTGAGAGGTGGTGGGATAGGAGATTTATGCATATAGTTGGGTGAGTTTGTGTTAATTTAGATGTGGGTTATGTGCTAGAATGTGAGAGGTGAGACAGGAAGAAGGGATAGAGGATACAAGCCCATCAATTGGTCCATTAGCTTTGAGACATGAGTTAGAAGCATGATGGTCTAACCAAGAGAGGTTTCTATCTCATCATTCTCCTAACAAATACTAATTTCTATTTTGCCCACAAATTATTTATCTTTCTTTGGTATTTTTTTGTAAAATACTTTGTTTAACAAGCTAAGTTCAAAAAAATTCAAGTATCATTTAAGAATGTACTCCCTTCGTTCTACAAAACCCTTCCGGTTTTGACTTTAGGGAAAAATAAGGAAAGTGTAATTTTGGTTGACTTTCCAATTTTGTCCCTGATGTGATGGGAAAAAGTAAGATGTGATAGTTTGGTTATTAGTGAAAAAGTATGATGTGATAGGTAGGGTATGAAAAAGTAGGGGTAAAAGTGGTTTTTTAATAGAAAGTGGAAGTGTTTTTTGGAAAGCCAAAAAAAAAAACGAAAAAGGAAAGGTTTTGTGGAACGGAGGGAGTAGCATTTTCTCTCCTTCCATGATAAAAGTACCATATACTCCCTTCGTTACTTAAAATATTTCCTCTTTCATTTTTTTGTTTATGATAAAAGTACCATATACTCCCTTCGTTACTTAAAATATTTCCTCTTTCATTTTTTTGTTTTCCCTAAAACACTTCTTTTTTTGGATAAAAATGACTCATATATCTAAACTAAGTTATTGCAATATATATACTCGCTACTACAAAAATGAGTAAATAGACTGCCTCAATTGCATCGGTTGTTATAACAACCGATGCAAAAGATCAAAAGCACTGGTTATTTTAAAAAAGCGATGCCGTTGATATTTATTAAAAAATAATTAAAAAATTAAAATAAGTATTAGCAACGGTTATTTAAAATAACCGGTGCAATTCATCATTAGCATCGGTTATTTCAAATAACCGATGCCAATACTTCTTTCTAATTTTTAAATATTGTTTACGTGAAGTTTTTATGCATCGGTTCTTTTTCTCAACCGATGCCATCCTCTTAATCCCTATCTTTTATTTGCGATCCTTTTTCACCACCATCGCGCGCCGTCTAAGATCAAACCCTAGCTCTCCATTTCTTATCGGCGTTCAATTCACCGTTCTTCTTTCTCACCGTTCTCGGAGGATGTAATTGCCGATATTCACTAGCCGTCTGCTAAAATCGCTGTCGTCCGCTCAGGCTTATGCAATGATCCTGGTAATTGGTTCATCCTCTCACTTTCGATTTCATCTTTGTTATTTTAAGGATTTTTAGAGCAGTGACATTATCTCTTAAGAATCCAATCACCCACCGCAGAAAGAAGAGAGGAAGCTATTGCTTCGGATCCAGCCATCCAGGAGGGGAGCGAGGAGATCGAGAGGCTGAGGGGGAGAGTGCAGGAACTGGAGAATTCAGAGGTTAAGTTGAAGGAGTGCTTGGAGGCCGGAGATGAATAAGGATATGGGCGAGCGAGATTAGATGTTGAGCTTGATGGGTTCTACTGCTATTTCTTCTTGTGAGATTGAGGGTGGAATTGGGAAGGTTGGTGTTTCGGATTCGGAGAGAATAGATTTCAGGTTTGGGGCCGAAGAGTTTTTCTTGAGGAGTGCGAATAGTATGGAAGAAGTTCATAGTGCTTATGGGGGGCCAAAGCTATTCAGTTCTGCTTCCAACTTCTGGCCTGAAAGAGCTAGTCCTTGGCAGGTAAAATTCCTTGTCGAATTCATTCTTATCTTTTTAACCTTGAAGGAAGTGGTATTTTTTCATTGTTTTCTGTTGTTCTTTCTTCCTCTGCCAGTTCATCTCTTTCCATTTTTGAGGTTTGCTGTTGTATCTGTAATGGATTAGGGAGGTTTTGAGTGTCAATTCCTTTTAGTTTAAGGTTCAAGTCAGTTACATTGTCCCCCTGTTGAATTCAAATAAATTACAGAGTAGAATCGAAGGTCAATTCCAGTGCAACTATCGTTCATCGCAGAAGTGGCAGGTCTGATTTGTGAGCTTAGGCTTATGCAACCCTCCTGGTAATTGGTTTATTTTCACTTTTGATTCAATCTTTGTTGCTCAGTTGTTGTCCTAAACTGCAGAGCATCTTAAACTATTTTTAGATGATTAATTGCATATGAACACTCAACAAAATAATGATATCTTTTTTTAATTCTTTTTAGAAATTTCAACTAAAAAGTTAAAGATTACAAAGTTGAAACCTAGATTATGCAGCATATGGCGGATTGAATGGTCTAATTTATCCAAAATGTACCAAGCATGGTCATTCAAAAAGTTTGGCATTCATCCATAATACTCTAAAAGAACCTCATAGTTTGATTTTTTTGTTAAAACTGAATTTTAAAATGATTTCAAATTTACTACATTTACATTATAATTACATATATTTTTTCTACAAATTATGGTCAAAGTATAATACAGTTTAATAAAAAGTCAAAGTAAAACGAATATTTTCTAGTGTACAGAGTGATCGTGGAGGGCGGGAAGTTAGTTTACAAGGAGAGTGGCTCTCTTCTGACCACAGAAGAAGGGTCAAAATGGATATTTGTGCTCAGCACTGCAAGGGCTCTTTATGTGGGGAAGAAAAAGAAGGGTGTTTTTCAGCACTCCAGTTTTCTCTCTGGACTGCCACTTCTGTTGCTGGTAGACTTGTTGCTCATGCTGGGATTCTTCAGGTATTTATATATTGTTTCCCAATTCTATGGATTTGTTTTCTCTCATGTCATAAATGCTGTTTAGAACAAGAAATTGTTGTTAAAAAGATAAAACGGACTCAACTAAAAACTCAAAATTGTTATTATTGAAAGCTCCAGAATGGTTTTGGAAATGAGTTAGGGATTACCCTCAACACCACAATTAGCTATCATAATTTAATAATTTATCTTAAGATATTAAAATATACAGAATCTAACATTGCCATCCTTTGTGTTTAGGCAATTTGGCCATACAGCGGGCATTATTTGCCGACAGAAGACAACTTCAAGGAATTCATCACATTTCTTGAGGAGCACAAAGTTGATTTGACCAATGTCAAGGTAATATTGGAAATAAATATACTCCCTCTTATCCAAAACTAAAATTCCTTTACAGTTTGATTTTTACAGAGTTTAAAAATAATGTCGAAAAGTATAAATGATTTTTTTGGGATGAAAGGATTATGCATACATACCCTACCCACTTGACAAGGGATTGACTTTAAAGACTTTTGGAATTTGGATTATGCAGAGGTGCTCTATAGATGATGATGGTGGGCTATCATCCGTCATCGGCTCCGCCTTCACGGCGTTGAAGAAGGAGATGACCCGCTGCTATGAGACTTGACCCGCTGCTATGACTAAACTGGGGGCTGCTGCTTCTACGGCTGTGTTTGCTGCTACTATGTCTGTGTTTGTATTTTGAACCCTTTTCAACAGGTTTTGAGTTGGTACTAATTATTATTTTATTGATGTAATTATATGTAGTCTAGGTTTGAACTTGTCTTTTATACACGTAACCATTATTATGGTTAAACATTTGACATTGATGTATTTGTTTGATTACGGGTAATAATAATAATTTACATGTTATCCTTGATTACTTGTGTTGTTAACATTAGCTCAAAGGCATCGGTTGGTTAGAAACAACCGATGCTAATACTTTTTTTTTTAAATTAATAAAATAGCAAAGGCACCGGTTGTTTAGAAACAACCGATGCTAATACTTTTTTTTAAATTAATGAAATAGCAAAGGCATCGGTTGTTTAGAAACAACCGGTGCTAATACTCTTTTTTTAAATTAATGAAATAGCAAAGGCATCGTTTGTTAGAAAACAACCGGTGCTAATACTCATTTTTTTTAAAATTAATAAAATAGCAAAGGCATCGGTTATTTCCAAAGCGATGCAATTGAATTAGACCAATTGCATCGCTGGTATTTACATCGGTACAAAACCGATGCTAAAGGTGTAAAACAACCGGTGCCTTTGCCCTTTTATGTACTAGTGACTCCATTCAATTTGCATTGATATGATAAGTCATTGAAATAATTTATCTCTTTTTTTCTTCAATGATAAGCATATAATTAGAAGGTCAAAATATAAAAATAAATCTCACCCAAGTCAAAATAAGAACTGTTTTAAGGAATGGAGGGAATATTATTTAATGTAAAAAAATAATACTAAGTCTTTGTTTGAACATATAACCATTACAAGCGCAGAATTCATGCACATGCGCCCCATCTAATTTTTCTTCGAATGCTCTATCTAGTTCCACATTTTTTCATGATATGTATCTCAACTTCATTTTGCTTCAAAAATGTAAAATCACGACATCTTGTTTGTTTGCAGCGAATGACCCAAGGATCAAGCCAATAAATTGATCAGGTACCAAGTGTGAAATATCTAGATTTAATCAAGGTTGGATTGATTTAAAATTAATTTTGAGCTTTGAAAATTGACACCCACAAAGAAGTAGGTAACTCACATTGTGTTATAGCATTCACGGTTAGAAATAATTTTCCTTCTTTTATAGATCCACTTCGGCTAATTACACCTTCAGTGACGATTCATTGATAAGCATGATTGGCAATCTTCGGTTCAGTTCAAATTGATTTTTTAGATATCACGATTTTTTTACATGAAATTTTTCATCTTTATATTGATCGTGATCTTCTTCACTAGAATGACTATGAGACACAAGGGGAATGCATTTTGATCAACGGTCTTTGCTATTTTTCCCTTTCAATCGCTCCAATAATTATCCCCAAACTCTAAAAAATCTATTAAAACCATGTTTGGTTGGAATAGGTAACTAGCAATTGTCTTGAAAACAAGTTTAATCTTGATCTGCAATTGAGATATAAAGGCACCTAAATATCAATTGAAGAAATAAAAAACAAATCTTAGCTTTAAAAAAACTACTCCGTATGTATAGTTTTAAGGTTGAAATAAAAACAATCCATCCTATAATAGAGATTTTATTTCTACCTCCTCAAACTACTAATAGGCAAAAGATTAGCCAATCACTTGAAACTAATAAACAAAACTTTGTAACAGATCCTTTTTCTTGACAGTTACATTGTAACGTGAAATTGACAATGATATAATTCTGTGATGGAATCCGTGACATACTACTTTGTCTCGAAAAATATACTATTCAATAGTCCATACTAACGTCGAGACAAAATGCCATGCAAGTTTGACTCAATTCACATTTACACAAAATACTACTCCGTAATAATTATTATTTGTACGTGTCTATACGACTTGTGGTATCATCAAGGGAGTCACTACTCACTAAATCTTTCTTTATTGGGGGGTAAGGTTCGTTGTCATCACAATTCACAAAGGTATTGTTGATAGGGTTGAGAAAGCACCAAATCATATTGTGGTGCAGCCTGGAGGGTCTTTTGGACTTTTGCGCTTTTTTTCTCATGGCATGGATCCTTAGGCACATGGCTGTTCATCATTTGCCAGCTTAATGCTCTCATTATTCTTTAACTATTCTTGTACCTTATGTCAATCTCACCCTTCTTCACTCTTGTTCTTTTTATTGTTTACCTATCAGATCAATGTGCCCGGCCACTCAAATTACTACTAAGAGCACTGGTAATACCCGCAACGCCCCCGGCGTGATGGGGATTTTAACGCCCCGGCGGCGTTAAACACCGCCCCCTCCGGGCGTGATCGGGCGTTGCGGGCACTGCGTCAAAGGAATGACGCGGCGTCATTCCACTCCCTCCCCCTCCCCAACGGCTTTATAGCCGTTACAAAATTTAAAAAAAAATTTTTTTTTTTTCCTATAAATTCAAACCCTCCTCCCTCTCAATCTCTCACACTTTCTCTTCTCAATCTCTTCTTCTTCTCATTTTAAAATTCGAAATTACTCTATTTTTATCCATCATGAATCCTTCCGGCTCCGGCTTCTTTCCCGACGATCTCCCGCCCGTCGACGCCGCGATGTGGTATTACCAAGAGTTGGGCGATCGACGGACGATGTACGAGACGCAACAACCGGGGTACGTTGACCGAGATTCGGTTCCGGAGACTCAACCGGAACCGTCCGGATCGAAAAAAAGTACACGCCGGAGGAGTCACAAAAGCCAAAACCACGTTGACCGAGGCGGCACGGTCAATCCAAAAGTGGACGCCGGAGGAGGAGTGCATATTGGCGTCGGCTTGGGTTGACGTCTCCGAGCATCCTATCGTTGGTAAAAAAAAATTTCTAATATATTTATGTTTTTATTTATATATATTATATTTAATGGTGTCTAAAAAAAATTGTGTAATACAATTTTAAAGGTAAGGAGCAAACGATCAATGCGATGTGGGATCGTATCGAAGAGAAGTTCTTCACGGCGATGAAGAAGGACGGCTCCTACCGAACCCGTGACCAACTCACTTCCAAATGGGGCCACATCAACAAAAAAGTCCGAAAGTTTATGGGAGTATACGAGGAATGCTCCCGGTCCCGGAGGAGCGGCACGAACGACGCCGATGTTCTCCGGCTTGCCACGACCCGGTATCAAGACGACGGGAACCAAGGCAAGGTGCCCATCGATCTTTGGAGGATTTTGAGTCGTTCCCCGAAGTGGCAACAACTCAACAATCCCGACGGCGGATCGTTCCGGAAAAGATCCACCGTCGACGCCGAGGTTGAGGTCGACGAGACCATTGGTTCTACCGATCAAATCCCTTCCTTCAACGTTGCGGCTTCCGATGACGAGGACCCCATGCCACGGCCGATCGGAAGAAAGAAGGCAAAATCCATTGCCTCTGGTTCGGGAGGGTCCGCCTCTGTTTCCGCTTCTCCCCGCGACGAAATCGGCCTGGCAATGGTTGAACAACTTCGGGCGTTCAATCTCCAAGAACAGGAGAGGTTGAAGCTTAAAGAGAAGGAGTTGAAGCTAAAGGAGCAGGAGGCCGAGATGAAAGTCATGCAAACGGACCCCGGGACGTTGTCGGAGTTTGGACGAATTATCTACGAGCAAAGAATGAGAGAGATCAAGGAGAAATATAATTTTCCTTAGTTTTTTTTATTAATGTATCTTTTTTTTTAAATTATTGTCGCTTTTTTTATTTAATTAATGTGTTTTTTATTATTCGTGTTTCAATTTAATTAAATAAAAAATTAAGTACATTTTATTAATTTAATTTTAGAAGATGTATATTTAAAAATGTAAAAAATGAAGGTTTGAAGCCCAGTTTTGAAGCCCCGGGGCTTCAAACCCATTTCCAGTGAATTTTGGGTATAAGTTAAAGCTGACGTGGTAGAGAGAGAAAGTTTGAAGCCCCGGTTTGAAGCCCCGGGGCTTCAAACGTATTACCAGTGCTCTAAGAGGTATATATGTGTGTTTTGATTGATTAATTGATAAAATAAAATAGTCTTTTCATCTCTTCTTTTATACTCCCTCCGTCCCAAAAAGATTTACACCTTTCAAAAATATTGCGTCCCACAATCTCCTACCCATTTCTATTAAAAAACCACTTTTACCCCTTACTTTTTCAAACCCTACCTATCACATCATACCTTTTTCCTAATAATTTATACATCACATCCTACTTTTACCCATCACATCAAGGGTATTTTTGGCAAGTCAACTCAAAATTATATCTCTCTTAATTTTAACTTTAGTCAAAACGTGTAAATCTTTTTGGGACGGAGGTAGTACTTTAATTAAGCAAAATTTTGACATAATTCTTAAATATAAAGGTTTTTTTTTATTTATATACCAATATTTAAATAAAATAAATTGAAACAATTTAAAATTTCGATTCATTTTGCATAAAGTGTAAAACCTGTCTGGACAGTTTAGTATATAAAAGAGGTAATGTCTAAAAAATCAGGGTGAAACTATAGCCTACAAATATCCTCAGATATGGGGTGCACTTCTGTGTTACACGTGCAATTTATAGAAAAACTTGCATTTTCCCTAATTCGATCCGAAGACTTAGCCGTGATAAAGCCAAAACCCTTGATACTAGGTCTGAAAATATTATATTTATATATTTGTACCCTGCTAAAGTAAAAAAGATTGGCAAATATCTTTGAAATAAATTCCATTTTTGTGATAAAAGCGAAAAAAATTATCTCTTTGAAAATTTTTCCCGTTTTCTTTTAGATCAAAATGAATAGATTGTGAATAGGTACTATGACTCAAGCCCATCTTTGAAATAAAATTGGGAAGGTCATAATTATTTTTTGTTTCAGAATCAAATAAATTCGAATTCAGATCTAAAAAAAGGTTGACACGAAGTTCTTTTCAAATTGACTATTTGTGTCCTTTATTATTGTTCTTAGGAGTGAAACTCTGGCATATTTTGCTCTTGTGCACCCTTTTATGCCAATTATGGCTGAAATGTAATTCAATTGACTCTTAAGAAAGAAATTGTTAGATTTTTTGTGTTTTGCATAAGGACTTGCCTGGACCAGGGATAGATCTCATTTTCTATTAGTTACTTGAGATAAAAGCTTCAATTATTTCTCATATAACTATGGGAAAAGACTAAAGTAAGAATAAAATATTGAAAATATACCAAAACAGGAGTTTTATGTTTTAAGAGTGCTTCTTTGGTGCACTTTGGGTGCATATCATTTTTGTGAACATTCTCACATAAAAAAATTTAAAATTTTTTTATTTAAAAAACAAATGTTTACTTAAGTAGTAAAGAAAAGCTTATTTTGCTCATATGTAGATCCATGGTGGACCATAAGTCCACCATAGAATTTGTCATGTATTTATTCTCAAAAAAAGAGTTTAAAAATTTACAGTGTCAATCATGATCATGTATATTATCAAAAAGTATAGTAAACTGCTATGTACAATGCCACATTACCACACTGTAAATTCCTAATCAGAAATGAAAACATAAAATTTTTATTTTGATATTTTTTTTATACTTTACTTCTATTTAGAGGAATATCTTTATAACTAAGAGCCTAAGATGATTCTAGGATAAAATTTATCTTCTCTTTTTAGGAATAAGAAACCTTGATTTTCTTGGAAAAGATTAAAAAAAAAGTATGGGGCAGGGTAGGGATGAGGGAAAAGCAGCCAAGCAGGGATAATTAGGTGGATTCCCCCCTAGGGGGAGACAGTGGGGATAAGTTGGCAAACTATGCAAAGTGATTAGGATCATGTCCACAGTTGATTAATAATTAATTATATATGAAATCTAAAGATTAGATTACTACGGAGTACTACACTACACTACAGATCGACTAAACTAGATTAATTAGTAGGATATATTAATGGACAGATATGATATGTGTGTCTTTATTATATTATTAATTATGAGCTCCCTAACATTGAACATAGACCCATTTGGAAATCCACATCCCATCTTATTAAGAGGCTAATCACACCATCACACGTACGTACACAAACTTTTCTGGATAATTAGTTATTTAATTATTATTTTTTTCCCGGCCCTAATCTCTTCGCTAAACGTGGGATTCCACCACCAACTTATTTTATTATATATTTCATTCCATCATCCTATCCGATATGACTTGTATCATGGCTAAAATTAGTCCTCCATGAGTTATTATGCCTATGTTTAGAGCATGAGCAGCGGCGAGGCAATTCCTCGCCTCGCTGTGCCACATATATCAGATCAGCTCATTTCGTAAATTGCCTCGTGAGGCTTCAGCCTTCCTCCACGTCAAGCGTATGAGGCGAGACATCTTCCAGTTTTTTATATATATATTTTTTTAGAAGAAATATTTTTTTAAAAAAAGTAGTACATCTATTTAAAAAAAGATAAATGAAATAATTTTTAATAATTAAAATATATTTAAAAATCATAAAAATTGACAAAAACGATGACTTGCCACTGCACGAGATGTCACTCTACTCACATGTCACACGCTGATTGGATTTTCTTTTATTGGTTGAAATGTGTCATGTCAACGTGTGACATTCCATTTCGTTACTTGCCATTGCCCGTGCTCTTATTTGTTTACTCCCATCCAAAATGAAATTTATGATTTAGTTTCAAGAAATTTGAAGAAATAATAGAGAGATTAATTTCGAAAATAAAAATAAGAACGTAAGTCATTTAACTTCTTCCCTGGCTTGAGGGGCAGCAAGCCCATTCCCCAAGATTCACGGGGAATTTTACCCAAGTTCGAGCCCCAGCAGAGGCAAAGCATTGACTCTTTGTGCATTATTAGACTGAGAATAGTATGAACAGATATTACCTTGTAATAGAGTCAATAACATAAAAAAAAATGTAAGTCATTTAAATTTTCTTTAATAGAATGAAATATTTGCTTATTTATTGGTCCCTCCATCCCACTATGTTTGGGACATGAAGGAGTAATACGAGATTTTAAAAAACTAAGGAGGTGTTTGTTTTTTGGCTAGAAGAGCTTCTGGCCTCTTTTGTATGCGCCGCGCAAGCGTGCGCAGATGCTGAGCTCTGCAGATTGTTTGTTTTTTGGAAGACATTTCACTCAAAAAGGTCTTCCTGACATCTTCTTGGAGAAGACATTAACCTATGTCTTCTAACATCTTCTCCATTTTTTTTCTTCTACTTCTCTTCACCACCACCACCGTCCACCACCATCACCACCGTCCACCATCACC